TCTCTCTCTCTCTCTCTCTCTCTCTCTCTCTCTCTCTCTCACGTTCGTTGATGAAATTCTTCTTTTGTTTCCTTGGAACACAACAGGTGTTCGTTTGCGAGTCATTGGCCAACTTGTATCTGGGAAACGCATCGCAGACCGAAAGATGGGAGCTTCGATTTACCGGGATTCCAGTAGTGGTGTTGGATCTTGGAGAAACGCGATCAAGATCCAAGAGACGAATCCAAATCCTTTTGGCCGAGCGTGGCACTTGTTTTACGCTTTGGAGGGAGACGATCGACAATTTATCGTCGTACAAGGTAAATAAATAAATAAATGAATGAATGAATAGGGATTAAAAATTTGCAATTATTATTACAATCGCGTTTTCAGGTGTCGGGGCCGGCTTTTCACACGATGTGTCTCTCGTCGGATCACACGCGCCTGGCCGGCCTCAGTTTCGACAATCCAAAAGCCGCCAACGACCTTTGGCAGCATATAGAAAGACTCGTCTCCTGCCCCGAGAACATTAGCCTCTCGGTACCGGGGAAAAAGAAGAAGAAACCGGTACAGAAGAAAGTGGTTTTACCGGCCAAGAGTAACATCAGCCAGCCCTGTCAATTTCAACACGTGACGAGCGTGGACGCTGCCGACCGATCGCGATATTTCTCCCTCCAAACTCTGGTTCCGGCTTTGAACGAGCTCGAAAACTCATTGGAGGCGAATTTCTGAGATGACGAGAAGTTGGTCAAGAGCTCAGATTCGTAACTCTGACGGTGCTCTCGTCCATCATCTATCCATCATCGTATTGCGCGTTATGTTCTAGGGAAATTCATTGTAATACCTTCAGGGATAAGATTGTCCGTAAAAACGGAACTCATGCGCGCAGATTCTCTCGTCATTTCGTGCTTCCGAGCGAAATCAAACGATTTGCCAAATCCATTGTCGCGTTACATTTCGACGTAATACCGCTCGATGGGACGCCCTTCCTATTCTCTCGTCCCTTTCTTCTTTTGCTCGAGAGAGAAGTAATCGTAGTAGTTAAAAAAAAAAAAAAAGATTGTAAATCTTGTGGATCGAGAAAATGAAAAACTTCATTCATTCTATAATTTGTTTTATTGCTATAGTAATTATAGATAATGGCATAGACAAGGATATTTGTTCAGGGAAACGTATAACGGTACAAGATCATTATTTCCAAATTTCAATGTAATTAACATCGTCGTTCTGATGTTTGGAATCATTAGCTTCTTTCGATCGCTACAGACACTCGACACTTGTTAAAATTCATTGTTCAATCATCATCATTACCGACATACCGTTCGACGAATTATATGTATACAAAGATCAAGAAAAATTCGAATAATTTCGAAATGCGTTCGTATACGTATTAGCTTGGAGTAAATATACAGAAAATTAAAGATATTTTTCAAACTCTAATCGCCTCCGTGACTTTTAGGCTGCAAAATGCTTCGATTTTGTCACGCGTTTCGAACGTTCAAAAATTGAATGTCGTCGTGTTATGTACGCGAAATTTTGTCACGTTTCCAAAGTGAATTGTGTACCGCGTGAATTCTGTCCGAATAACGACTGCGATAAGACTGGTTCTACCATTTATTATCCTATAATTAGAGAAATGAGTTTAAACGTAGGCATTGTGACGATAATAAAAACGTAGAACGTTACTCTGTTATTCGACGTTGGTCGAATTTCTTCGATACGCATTTTTTCGACGCCATGCTTTAACCTCTTTACTGCTGGACAGCTTAAAGCTCGTTAACATTATCGAGTCGTAGAATGTGAAAGAATTATACGAAAAGAAAGAAAATAATAATGTGCAGTACTACTATGGAATGGCGGTCGAAACTTGATTATTAAATAATTGTGTTTTTCATTCCAAAGACGCGCGATCGCGTCGTGTTGTCATCATTGTGAAACGCGTAAGTAATATCATGTAAGAAATATCAAGAGGATAATCAAATTTCTCGCGTTCGAAGAGTTAGTTAGCGTTTTATGGATTTACGTAGCGATCGATGAGAGACAATTGTCAAACGTATATATTCGTTTGTTCGAGATCGTTTAAAGGTTCCCCCTCCCTTTTTGATCTCCCGACACTCGACTGTGCGTACGAAATAACTTCGATTACGATACATTGATTTCTTTGTCTCGACTGTGATATAAATATATTTGTATAGTTAAGTTTCACAATATGTATCCACATTGATTAATCATTTTGATATGTAAGTTTACGATCATCATTTCGCATGTAATAATTATGGTAATAAATAAGTAAGTTTACGTAACAGGTATTTCACGTTCGTATTCACGACGCGTTGATTACACGAAGAAATAATAGAATTCATTCGAGATACTCCATCAATATTATTTTTTAACGAAAGAAATAAAGGACAAGACCGGACCAATCACATTACGAAAATGAAACGACTAAGGAAAAACTTAAAGCGAAGCAATTATTTTTCTAATTTCTTCGAACAAATACTTTAGTGTTTAATTACAAGTGAATAAAAGATAGTAAGGAAAAAATGGCGTACCCGGAATCAAAGCGACACTTTCCTCGCGCAGTTCAAATCTATGGTTGACTTTCTCTTCTTTTGGTATTCAATGACTAATGGTAAACAACGGATGTTTTTCGAATCTGTCCACTTAACGTTCTTTTTGCGGATCGAACTTAATTGTAATCAACCTGTATCTTACGACACGCGACGAGATATGTAATACGAACTTGCTTCACCCGACCAGGATGTAATTCCTATTCCACTTTCACATTCTGAACACTTTTACTATTTGATAAGATATCGCGTGACGTGAAGTGGTTCGATCGATCATAACATCGTTCATAGCGTACAGGTGAACGATAATTGGAAGAACTTGTGTAAAGAGAAATTAACATTAAGTGCAAGGAATTGAGAGGAAAAAAATCGAAGAAAAATCAAGAGGATTCGAATATAGATGAGAGATGAGGAAAAATATATTCTATCTTTTATCTCATGATGGTTAGAAAAAAATGCATAGAATGAAATTTAATTACTGTTAATATATTTTCAATTTGTGATAAACTGCGAATGCATCGCGACAAACAATGCAATTTTCGCATTCCATGAAGCATTCCAATAAGGTTATTGAAAGTCGAGTGAGATGTGTCGCACAGAACTCGTTAGTTGTTCGGCTGTAAATAGCGGATAAAAGCAGCTAGTCGGTTGGTCTCTCATACGTATGGATGAGAGGAAGACAATCGGTATTCGTGCGACAGGAAGCCATCTATACGAGGAAACGGCGAGTCGTCAGTGTGTTTCTGGAACTCACGTATTTTACTATTTTGTTTCTTTCCACGAGTTTACCGGTCTGAGCCACTCGTCGCCACTACATACCTACATTTCCATTGTATCCACTTCGAAGTAAATAGATATTCGTTGAAAAATAGAATCGAAGGAAACTGTAATTCCGATAAAAAGAAATATATATATACGTAGTATGTAAAAAAGAAAGTTTCGAAAGAAAAGTTATGTAATATGGTATATATTCGTGTATATATATTTTTTCGAAAAAGATCTTATGTGACTCGTGGAAACTTTAGAAAATTTTTTTTTCCATTTAAATTTTTAGGATAATGTTCAATTTCCCAGCATCGCTGATTTCTCATTTTCCCTGTCTCTTTATTTTTTGATTTAGAATGAAATTAAACTTTTTTATAGTCTTCTTGATAATTCCGGACGCATCGATAGCCGGAAAGCTAGAGATATGCGTGGGTTCCAAGCAAGGCCAAAGAGGACTCGGAAGGGGCATAGAGAAGAGGCATAGAGAGAGGTACGGAGACACCGATATTGGGTTAGTTTTTACGGCTGGTTTCTAGTTTCCACAGTGGTGCAATGAGGCCTGGATTTCCCGTAGACGAGCACCACGTTCCAGATTACAGTCGCCGACACGGTGCCAGAGAAGAATGAAAAAAAAAAAGAAAGTCATCAATGAGTATCAACCTTGATCTATAATATGTACAGATTTTAATTTGAATCTTTCAGATTCGAAAGAATAATTTGTTTCACGAATAAAATCATTGGACGATGTAACCGATCAAAGAGACGAACGATTTCGTGTCACCAGTTATCCCTTAAACGCCGCCATTGGCGGAAACACGAAGAAAAACACGGAGGGAAGAGTGCGTAGGATAGAGCGGAGTACAACAGGATGCGAGCGACGCGTTCGATCGGCCACAAATGGGCGGACAAGTTTTTCCGCGATTCTCCTAGAAATAAATATAACGCTCTCCCGATTTATCTTAGCTCGCATCGTTTCTCGCGAATGGGTTAACGCGTGCGTGATTGAAAAGTTTCTTCCGATCCACTCTTTCTAGTCAATCCCTTTGTAAAAGTAATTGCACGACGAATCGTCGATTCCGAGTGATTGGCGAAGGTGAAAAATGGCCGCGTACGTAGATAGGTTAAATTGGCTATAATTTTTCTCGATTCGTCCCGATGAATCCGTAGCATCGATATTTGATCGCTAACGGTAAGATGACGCGAGCTCTCATCCCTCCTTTCATTTAACTTTCATTAAGATTGACGGGTATTGACCTTTGTCGAGACCTCGTGTCGTCTCTTCGTCTAACGCGTCGATGTTATGTTTTCGTGTCGGATATTTTTCTCACGTTCCGCATCCTTCCTTCCCGATCTTTAAATAAATATTCACGCTGTGAAGAATCGTCGGTTATCTTTATAATTGCACAATCTCGTTTTTAACTCGAGTCACAAAACGACCTACATTTCACATTTGTCGTTCGTTTTCGATAATTTCGTGTATACATTGAAAAATTGTTGGATCGTTGAATTATTGAGAAAGATTAGATTGTTACACATTTTGATTACGATTTTAAAGAGAATGAAAAAATTTCGACACGAAATAGACACTTACCGGTAGAGTCGGCTCTCTTCTATGTATCGGTATATTTCATCGATTTTTTTCTCGACATGTACGTACATCTATACGCAAAAGCAGAAATCTCTCAACGAGAGATTTATGTTATCGACATACTAAATTAATTTTAAATTGATATTCTTTATGAATCCTCGATTCTTTCTAACCTCTTTCTTCTTGTCATTCCTCAATTTTGACTATTTCGCTCTTGTGATTGCAACGATTCACGATTTGGATTGAAACTTTCTCGTTTGAAAAACGTAATATCTTATCCGAAATGTTCGATCAGATTATCGGTTTTATTATATACCATATAAAATTGTATCTCTTTTTTCGTTTTTCATTAACTTATTCATTGAAGAGTTCCAAAGAATCAAAAACGAATCGAAATCGAGGATTAAGGCTCATTAATGCCAATAAATCGTAACCAAATACCATTTCGGCAGCTTTGAATTTCAAACGAATATTCCCGAAGACCTTTATTTGCTATAAATTATCCAATGGGCGTGTAATCGATTACCTTTCCTCCTCGATCCAATTCAATGCTATTGTTGTTCGATAAAAAAATTATCGATGCATCGATTACGTGACATATTTTCGGATTACGGATCGATTTTGCAAAGTTCGATCAAGTCACAATTCTATGGAATCTAAGCTTTATACGAGACACATGGTAACCGATAATGCGATAATTTATTGATAAACGGAAAATCAACAAAACGTGTGACCGTCAGGTACAATTCATCATACGTAACAAAGTACACACTTATACATAGAGTACGTACGAAAATGATGTTTTGAATCTGTCTCATCATCATTTGTAATCTCGAGTACACGAGCGATCGCGATACCACGCACAAATAGTCCTTTTTTCACTATATAACGTCTGAATAAGTGATGTATCTCGTGCAAATACAACGCGAAATGTGCAACTCGAATAACAGGCGGCGACACAATCGCCGTTATTACAATCGCAACCAATTTCAAGCGAATAAAAATGAAACGAACGAAATACAATTATTGGATATCGATAACAAACACGATGATCGATAGACGTAAAATTAGCGTTAATAATACAAAGTTGCAATGACAACATCTATATAAATTTGATTCTTACATTACTGTTTTACGTTTTCGTAGAATTATCATTTTACTTATTAAGTTATCGATCGCGCAGAATCGAGAGCATACAAATGTTGAACAATATAACGATATGATAAATACGTTGATCGCGTTAATTATTATATGTATATTACGATAAATACTTCTCACGAGCAACATTGTTCCTTTTATGCACATGTATGCTCAAACTACAATCGACTCGTTCGAGTAACAAGCAGCACCAATTGAAACACTTTTCTAACCTCTATCTAATGATCGATTGTGTGCAATAATATTCTATCAAAAGTCATTTACATAATCGTGTACATCTTTGAAACAGGTTCGTTGAGCAATTTGTCACGACACGTGACAATGTTATATTTCACATACGTGTATATATATATATATATATGCATGCGTGTATTAATTTATACGCATTCATTCTGCACGCGCGCTCATGGTCTACGTATACTGGCACATTAGAAATTGGCGCGCGTTCTCGTATCGAAGACGAGACCGTGGCTAAGATCGATAGCTCGCGGATCTGCCACGGTGAGCCTCTGCGATAACGAACGTAATATTACATGAGTAAAATAATTAAACAACGCATGAAAAATTGTGAGGAAATTCGATCGAGTGAAATTCTACGCGAATTAAATAAATACATATTATCAAGTAAGCTACGATCGAACCAACTTTCCTCGCATCCTTGTTCTCATCTTATATTTTGATTAGCTACCGCAAATTCGTTTGTTTGACCAAGACGTGTCGTTCATTTCACGGCTGTTTCTCCTACGCGTAGAACGTGGAACGTCGGATTCCTGTGGGACTTGGAAGTAACGTCTGAAAGAAAAATCTTTCTCCACCGGGAACAGTTTTAATTGCCGTTTATCTCGATCGTTGTCACCGAGTTTACCCGATGCTCGTCCTCCGTCGTGGAGGAAGAAGGTGGCACGGTGAAGCTAGCTAAACCACTCTCGACCAGGCTCATAAGATCATTCTGACGCGCTCGCGCGAGTTTCTCGCTACGCGCTTTTTCCTCCGCTTTCTTCTTCTCGATCACAGCCTGGTTCGCGCGATTGTTGTTCCTCGTGTTCTCTTGGACGAATTGTTCGAATTTCGACAATTGCCTCTCGGTCGCGCTTCCCTCGAAGATCTCGTTTCCCTCCACAGGTATACCGTGTTTGCTCACCGTGGGCTTGTAAGTCTTCACCTTCGAATGACCTTGGATGATGAGATACATCGGGCCACGAATAGGTTTGGCCGGTTGTTTGTAATGGGAGAAAATTGGATCCGTGGTCAAGCTCGGCATGGTAGTGATTCGCGGTGTGGTCGATGCGTTTTTTAGGTTCTCTTCCTCCTCTTTTTCGTCCTCCTCTTCCCTCTTTCCCTCCGTGCCCATTTTTACCGGGGCACGGTCTATCATTTCCGAGTGTCGAGTGTGCCCGTCGAAAAGAGGCACGGGCGAGTTCTCGGCCGAGGACGAGACGGTAGGCAAGAATGAAGGTGCGGTAGGCGTGGTGAAGATGGACGCGGTGCTGGTGTCCGGAATGCGGGATCGGTGTCGATCGAAATAGTGCTCCTCGCTTTGACCGATCGAGTGCGCGGTCAAAGTAGGGAGTGGCTGCGAGTCGGGCGACATAGCGGGGAAATTGTGCAACTGCGGCGACCGATGCGCCCCCGACTGATGGTCCACGTGATCGATGGTCGATCTCATAGGCGGTGGCGCGTGCATATGCGTCATCGGTGGGAACATGGGCATCGAGGCTGGAGCGCGGAAACCGACGGTTGGACGCATACCGCCGACAACGTGCATCGTTCCATGGTTGGGCCTGGTCTGTGGATGCATCATGGAGGAGAGGGGAGCTTGCGGTGGTCCGAATCCGAGCAAAGAAGAATCGACGGGGCGCCGGGACGAAAATGGAGGAGCCATCGTCGAGTGGAAATGCATCCCGTGCTGTTGAACACCCGACATCATCTTGTTCGGGGATAAAAGGGATTGAGAATTCTCCGAGACGATCGAGGATCCTCTGATCGCCGAATTTCGAATCGGTTGAAACTCGACCCTCGACGTTTCCGTCTCCGTCATCGTCGTCGAATTTTCCGGAAGACTAGAGGTCGCTATTGTCTCCACCGCTGTGATCGCTGGCGTCACCGAGCTCGAAGATGTCGCGTAAGTCACTTTTTTCTCCGAGTAATTGGCCGGCATCACCACCGCCACCGGCCCTTTTTTCGCCTCGTGGGTCGCCTCTGTTTCGGTGAGGCCGTGAGGCGAATTAGCGACGACGATGTGCATCTTCTCGGGCGATGTGATCGACTCGTCCTCCGCGTTTTCGTTTCCATCGTTGACCGAGTCGGTCGTCGTGGTAGTCGTCATCGAGATCGTGACAGGGGACGCTGTATCCACACCTTTTTGACCGACCACTACCTCTTCGTTCTCGTTGCTATCCCCGTCGACTATTATGTTCGCGTTTTGTTCCACGACCACCTCGTGATTCGAGGATGCAGCCGCTTGGTGGTCGATCGATTCGTATTGATCGCGGCCCGAATAATCCGTGGCCTGGCGGACACCGTTCGACGTGGTCGATGTCGATAAGGGGCCGCCACCTGGTGAGGGGGGCCATCCGCCGGAAAGAGTTTGGGTCGACTGATATATCAAATTGGACTTTTCCAGGGAGACGGATGGTGTCGTCGCGGTTTCGTGCTTCGGTCTGGTGGATTGCGGTGACGAAGGCCCGTACACGCTCTTGATCGTCTCCACCTGCGTGGAGATCGGACTTTTGCTCGGAGGGAATTTCAATTGCGAGGTTTGCAATTTTTGATTGTACGTCTTTGAGGGCGCTAGAGGCGCGTAGAACTGCGCATCCTGAAGCACCGGCCCTTCCTCCGTTTGAGTGTTGAATTGCTGAGTGGGCTCGACGAAGCTCACGATCTTGTCTTTCTGCGTCAACGGTGGGGGAAGCATCATCGTGTAAGGTTTCGTTTTTTGATTGTAGAACGGGCTCGGGTAGTAGCTGGACGGTATCGATTGAATCCTGTTTTGATTCCTGTAGTCGAGGGGCCCGTTCCTAAAGTTGCTCGTCCGCACCAGTTTTGGCGGTTCCGCCCCCGTGCTCCCGGTGAAGTCGTTCCTGTACGAGGAAACGGAATCCTGGTGACTCGATCTCGTGAATTTCGGCCCGTCCACGAATTTCAAGAATTGCTCCGGTATCTTCGGGCTGGTCTTCTTCGCGGTTACACCGAGGACGAGAATATCCCGTTTAGTGGACGGCTCGGTCGTGTGAGAATCCAGCCAATATTGAACCCTGTCCAGCACGGGGGGGACGTAATCGAAGGTAGGATTGTTCTTCAGGGGATCGCCGCGTCCAAGCGGCGTCCACTCGTCGTAATCCATTCTGAGCGAAAACACGCGCGGTTTGCTCTCATTCTGGCCTGGAAAAGAAAAAAAAAATCGACTCGTTCATTGGCTCGAGGTGACAAATCAAACTTTTAAGAGCGTTTCAAAATTATATACACCAAATTAATCGATCGATTCGCGCTTTTTATTTCGTCACGCTTACTTCGTCACGGAACAAAAAATGGAGACTTTACGCTGGACAAGATAGGATAAGAGCTATTTCTCTGGGAAGAGAAAAATCCGAATACCCGATCGCGACGGGTAAAATTTCTCTCATCCGTTTCTGCTTGTAACGCAAGTTGATGCGTTTCATATGCGCTCTCGCTACGAGCATTAACCGTCCATACGGCACGTCCTACTACGGAAACCCGGTGTGGAAATAGAAACGAACAACGAAGATATAAGAGACTAAGGTATAACGCGCAAGGAGAAAACTCTCGAGCTCTCGAGGAGCATCTCGTTCGGATAAAACGTAATAGGAACGTGACGTGTGAAAAGATGAGAAAAGGAAAGAAAATGTCGCGATCCGCCTTTCCTCCCTCCTCTTCTCCGTTATTACAACCAGATAAAAATGTGTTCCGTTGAACGAGCCTTCGTATCATTTCGTCATCCATGACTGTCACCACGTGTTACCACGCGCATGTTGTAGCCTGCAGGCGTCCCTTTTTGAAGTGGCACGGTATCCAAAATACGGGATGCCAATACCAATCTCTTTCCAAATTTCCACGTGAGAAATCGTTAGGGGAAGCGCGGGCAAAAGTCGGCACGGGTGTAGCAGTACAGGTGTAACAGTATAGGATGTATACACGCACGAGAGCAAGCGAATGTGTGTACTGTCCGTTTTCATGAGGGCACGCTGCTCCATCCGTTGACAACTGAGCAAAGATTCATTAAGGCTAAGTGCTTGCAGTCCCTGCCGCCGTCGTCGAGACAAGAGGAACGAATTTCTTTCGTGTCCCAGATTTTTTTTTTTTTCTCTCTCGAACTTCGAATCGGTCCTATTAAAAATATGAATTAATAGCATAATATACATCCTTATATATATATATATATTATTTTGTTGAATCTCTTCGTGCTTCTTGTTCGTTCTCGCCGATACGCAAATTATCGATGTGGTTACGTAGTTATATATATATACGTGCACGTCTGTTTTGTATCGCCACGTGTATAGTGAGCTCGATGGAGTCGATTTGACCATTCGGTATCAAACGATTGATTTCTCTAATTCTCTCTTTCTGCTCATTGATAAAAAAAGGATTATTCCCACAAAGTACAAAGTAATCGTCGAACAAAGAGGTATACTGTGTCGTCTAACAGGCGAGTGTACAAGCGTTTTCCTATGTTGCATGTGTATCGATACACGTGAGTGTTCTTTTAGCACCGAGCTGAGTGACCTACTGACCCGGCGCACACGCTTAGGCACACGCAGACGTGTACGTAAAATTTCTCGGCGGCGGCAATACGTTTTTTCACTAAATTCAACGTATCTATGGGTTATTGAAACGTTTGCTCGGTGGCGGCGGAATGCCACGGTGACGGTCCACGGACGTAGTAGTAGTCGAAAAATTACGATTATGTGCTCGATCGTCGTGACATTGCTCGCTCGGGACACACCACCTCTCTCTCTCTCTCTCTCTCTCTCTCTCTCTCTC